GACTGTCATCATTTAATCATCATTTTATAATCATATCCCAATAAATCTTGCAAAAATGATGGGAAATGATAAAAGAATATGAAAAATATGAAAAATGATGACAGTCCAGTAAAAGTGCAAATTTCCTGTTGCTGGACTGTCATCATTGTTCCATCATTTTTGCATGATTTCCCAATAAATATTGCAAAAATGGTGGAAAATGATGAAAAATGATGAAAAATGATGACAGCCAGAAATGAATGATGACTATCCGGAACCCAGCTTCAGACACTATGTAAAACCCACAAGCAAATGATGATGAAATGATGACCACCGACCCTACCCAAATGATGAGTACATGATGAATAAACTTATATCCATGCACCCAGTGTCTACAGGAAAAATCTCTTAATGCTAACTCTCTCTCCCTTGCTCTCGACATTCTGCTTAGTTTCAGCTTTTGCCACAACAACAGAAGCCACTTTCAAGGGAGATGCTGGTCGTCAGCCCGGTAGGCTGCCACGCAGGGGGACGTGTCAAGGAAGATGAAAGAGATGAAGTGGCCACTGCCCAATGCAACCCGCTTGGAGAAGTACCGGCTGTCCATGACCCAATTGCTGAGCACACCTAATTCTGGGCATTGAACTATGTCTGCTGGCTTGACCCCAAGGTGGTCTGACACGGGCAGTGCAAGTGCGCACCACAACACCTCTTGCAGGCGAGATGCTGGACAACTGACACTGGGCCTCCACGTTATAGCCTCGTTGGAATGTGCGGCCATGTACGCGCAAAGGTCGGCCATTTCTCTAGCCCGTGTACGTAATTGGGATCCGGGCCGTACTCATGGTTGCCCAACACTGAGTACCATGGAACCTTTCAGAAGCTTTGTGACTGATGACACGGCGCTAAGCGCAGGACATGACAGGAAGTCGGGGTGGCTTCTCGAGCAGTTCTGTGCAGAAACCAATCTGCCACTCTGAACTGCGAACGCTACGCAAGCCCTGCCTTTAAAGACTTGTTGCTGTACACATTCGTGAAATCTTCGGCAACTTGATGATCAGCAGTCCCAGTAATGCCACAGTAGTAGAAGTTGTCGCCGGTATTAACCTCATGGGCTGAGCGGCTCTGGGTTGGTCGCCAGCTGTTCACACAAGTACATACAAGTACTGCCTCTCCCTCTCCCTCTCACACACGGACTCAGCATCGGAGGAGAGCTGAGGGGTCGACTACGAAGGATGCGCCAGTCTGCGTCGCAGTTTTTGCCATCTGCTGCGCCACTGCCGTCACCGTGGTCTGGTGAAAGCTCCCGAGAGCATATCTACCCCAGTCTCGGCTTACGGCACAGGGCAGGCGTTTGGGTGCTCGGGTGCCTGTTCTTGGGAGTGCTCACGGGCAGGGCAGGATGGCACAGACGGGTTCGAGGGCACGGGTGCTTGCCTCCAAGATGTATTTCGCAAGGACTCGACAGGTGGGCAAAAAGCATCCTCACAGCCTCTCTGAGATGCGAGACCCCGTCGAGAAAAAGTATGGATTGTTCCTTTCAGTCAGCTGGCCTCCCAAAGTCAGGAAGGAGACCGAGCCCTCTGCCGCTGCGCTAAAAAGCCTGAGCTTTATTGGGGACTTTGGAGCACATAATACGTAGGACAACCAAATGGGGAATGGGGGAAACCGTGGGCTTAGATTCACTCCAACTCAAGACCGCACTTCTGCACGTCACCTACTTCGCTTGACTTGTACCTGTAAAAACTTGGGGCCTGAAGTCTGATAAAGCAAGCGGAGCCCCACAGAGACGCGATACATGCACTCGGATCAACACTGGGCAAGTGACAAGAAACAGGCCCACAGTCTAATCATGGTCAGCGCGAGGCGAGTGGGACTGCGAGCGGTCCGAGATGGCTGCGTTTTGCAAGTATGCTTGGGCATATGCAACATGTCCGCACGTGAAGGGCACCCAGTGGGTTCCCACGTCACCAAGTGCAAAGAATTCACTAACTGCAACATGCACACCCTACCATATCCACAGTTCAGCCTCCGAGAGCATGCAAAAGTCGCTTGCTCTTGCTGTCAAGTTGCTGAAAATGTGATGCAAGGTCATCATGATGAGGAGCTCACCTGGGACAGCACGCATGTCTTCCGAATCTGCCTCCCCTTCTGCATGAACCAGCAGCTTTATGCCAAACTCAAAAATGGGCCGCGGGCGACTAATGTGCTCGAACGGCTGCATGAATATGTGGACGAGCCTGAAGTACTGATGCAAGGCTCAGCTGTGCAGGAACAAACTATCCCTGGCTTTGACAAGACACAGCCCCAGGAGCCGGGCATGGGGTCGCAACAAGTCTGCAATTGAGGCAAGCACGACCTGGAGACGTAGAGTACTAAGTAGAGCTCGGACCAGTGGTTGACGCCCTGCCAGGGCCGAGTTCACAGTTTAAAGCTAAGCTGGAAGCAGGGAACATTAGCAAACGGCGAGGCGGAGTAGATAGAAGCCTGCCATCTGGAGTCCGGGTCGTGGTATAACGTCAAGGTGCCAGCCTCGGCGCTAAACGACAAGGCAGGTAAGATGCCAACATGCTCGGTGCAGAACTTTGGTAGAAATCGTGTACGACTGAGATCTCACTCTTGCGTACCGTGGTTTCCCAAAGGCTTAGGGCCAATGCCTCTACGGACTGACGACTGCCCGAATGCCGGCGCTACTGTCTCTCAAAATGCACACATTTCAAACAGTCGCCGGTTTCCCCTCGCAGCTGTGCTTGTGTGACCGGACACAGCTGAGGCACGAACCATAGCACAAAAGGCAAGGAAGCTGAAGAATGGTATTGAATATAGAGTGTCCGCCAAACCAACAGGGTCCTCTCCAGATTTTCACACCCTGCTTCTGAAGTAAAGGATGCCGGTCAACTCGTGCGATGAGGGATTGTCATTCGTTTACGATCTCAGGGTCTCTCAGTCTTAATCATGCCGAAGGAAGCTCCGGTCCTTGGCTTTTGGGAAGCAGCCTTTGGCAACCAGAAGGCATGCCACAAAGATCACCACCTGCATTGTCAGGAAGTAGGGCCGCAGGGATATGGCTTTCCAGTTATGCTCAAAGGTGCTTCCAGCTTCTCGCATGCATCCAAACATTGGCGACTGAAAGCTGCGACACATCAGCGACAGCCTTGCAAACAAGAAGTATCTAGCATCCAAGTCTTGTTCAACAGCCGCCTGTGCTCCGATACCTTGCGGCCCGATGACATGATGACATGACAGCTTCTGGGTAACAAACTTCCTTGCCGATGCAAGCTGCAGCGCCTGTGATGAAACTGAATCTAAACTGACAAACTCCCTGCGTATCAAGAAGCTTATACCGATCCGGAATCCGAACTCCTCGACGGTCTTTGCAACCAGTTCCGGAAACGACGCCATGACGGCCAGAACAGAGCTATGTTGCTGATATCTCTGATGGGTCCTCATGTTTTCATTCGATTGATAAGTCAATCGAGCTGGTAACTAGCTGCAGGGGTTGGGTCAAATCACCATTCTCCGTCACGACGAGCATCCTGATGCTGCAATTCATTTCCTTTTGTGTGAAAGCTGCAAAAATCCGGCGGCCGGCGAGCGTTCAGCAAGAAGAGGGTGCAGCAAAACTACTGCACAATGAAGCTTTGGAACTCTGCTAGGCAGTCATGGCTGCAGCATCCAACTGCATGCCCAAACGACGCGTACTGTGACGCAGCATCATCGGCATCCTCCGCCACAACCTTCGACACACTTCTTCATGCTGGTCAAATTTGCCTCCGAAGGGCTGGGTTACGTGCGTGCTGCTCAAAATCTCCGAGATACCCGAAACCTTCCCATCTAAACATTCCTTTCACCACACCTCCCTGGTGCCTCCGGCTCAAAGGCGCGACCAGCCTTCGCCGCACGTCGAGCCGACCGCGACAGCTGCTCCTCCTTCATGGGGCATGTTCTGTCCTGCCCCCCCTCGCTCCGTCCTACTTAGCCCGAAGCGAGAAAAGAATCGCTGCAAACACAAAACCGACCACAGCCAAGTGCCGCACCTCACGCCACAGCCCGGAAGCTCAAAATCCTCTCCCGCAGCCCCGAAATCCTGTGGCGGCAAACCAAAACACTGCCCACGAAAACCTGGACCCTTCCCCCGTGAAGTCGGAAACGCTTCTCCGCGAAGCCCGACATCCCTTTTTGCCGTGTTGGAAACCTGCCCACGCAGTTCGAAACCTTGATCCAAAAAGCTTTAAAGCCTCTCGCGCATATCCCCCTGCGAAGGCCCAACACCGCGCCTCCTCTTGAACCAATTCCTGCGCATGAGTCTCCGCCAGGATGGAAAGCGCCCGCTGCAAGACTTGATGCGGATTCCTGGCAGTGTCCCAGGCGCAAATACGGCGGCCACACCGAGCTCCCCCTTCGCCTCGCCTCGAGGTGGGCTGCGGCCTGTCTTGGGTGGCCTGGGGATGCTGGGGCTGTGCCTTCGGGTGAGGGCTTCTAACAAAAAATGCTCCGTGCAATCGGGTTCTCATGAGTTCACGGGTGCGATGAGTGATTTTCTGCATCTCGTGCGAATTTCCTTCTGCACAAGGGACTCGACTGCTGCCCTCTCCCAACAAACCCTCCTGGTCTCACTGCGAGGCCCTTGACGCTGAAAAGCGATGATCGTAACCACATTCGCGGCAACGGCAGCAGCAGCCACCACTAGTGACAGTGAATGGAGTCATGGTGACAACATAAAGCAATGGCACCAGCAATCATCATAATCATAGAGTAACGGGAGCTGTGATCATGATTCAAGCCAACAGTCCCAGTAAGGATAATCGTGTTATCGGTGGCAGAACGATGATGATGCAGCCACTCGGGGCAACTTGCTGCTCGCGTTGCAGACCTCATGCATTTAAGTGCTCAAAGATCTTCTTCATATCCTTTCATTTTCACATGCTGCGTAGCATGCCTAGAAAGGCTGCAGAGATGCAGCCTTCCGAGACATGCCATGTTCAAAGCTCTGCTACTATAAAAAGCTGGCACAATCACTTCTTAAGGATCACAAGGTCGACTTGGTGAACCTCGCCTTGGTCGATACAAAGCGAAAAGGGAGCAGGGCCTGAGCCAAAGACCTTCGCGGCCTGGTGCGGTTGCACAAAACACCTCGCAAGTGAGAATCCAAGGGACGAAGATGCTCCAGCAGTGCTTCGTTGCCTGTGAAGTACTTGTCGCCTAATTCAGGCAAGAACGGTTCATATCAAGGTCTGACTTTTGAGCTCTACACACCGCCGATATAAAGCTGGCCAGGTACACGTGACGCAGCGCCGCGTGTACTTTTGCCGATCCGTAGAGTCTGCCGGCGGAAGCCACTTGTGTGATCTCGGGTGCGACGCATCGACATTGTGCCTGCGCGTGGCATCAGCTATGGTTCTCTCTGCGAGAGTGCCTGCATCCTGGGGGGTCCCTGGGCATTCTGCAGGATGAAAGCAGAAAACCCGAGTCAGGAATGGCATGGAAGGCTCCGTTTCAACGAGGCTAGTCTCGGGTCGATCTCCCCTCCACTGCCCTACGAGTACGAAAAAAGAAACAGAAACAGCGAAGCATGTCCAATCTGCTCGACTCACATGGCCAAAAGAGCTTCCGCCTTCCACGCAAATGTCCAGCAACGTCTTCCAGCCCTCCGCGACTGGTCCAACCGCAGCCGCATTTGTATGGCATGCGGGTCTTGGCCTGAAGATTTCAGGGCCTTGCCGGCAATACACTACTTCTGGGTATGCCCGGAAAGTTCGGAAAGCGGCGGGTGCTCAGCACTTTCTATTTTAAAGATACCCTAGCCAGCTTCTATGCCAGAGCTCCCTTTACGGGGGGAAACTCCCGGTGAACTGCCACCACTTTTGGCTGACCTTGAGCCCGGCGGATTCAGCAGACAGGGAGTGGCCAAGGGCTCGTTCCTCCACCTCCAAAGCCAGCAAAGCCGAGGTCACCACCCGGCGCAGGCCTGCTTTATGAGCGGCCTACGAGGGATCGTACAAAGCCGGCTCGGGTAATGCGACCTGCCCGCACTCAGAAGGGACGCGCCTCCCAGCAGGTAGTGCAGAATCTCTCAATCCGCTCCTCCTGAAATGGGGACATTCTGCGTCACCCCACGGCGACAAGGACCGCGGAGCGCCTCCCAGCCGGAGCCTTCCAGGATGGGCCAAAGGGCCTCCGGCCGAAAGAGAACTTGAGGAACTTGCTTTTCCGCTACCTCCTTGCAAGGCTCCTCAGCTCCTTGCCTCGGCCAAGTTGGTCTTCTCGAGTGAGTCTTGAGAGAAGAGCACCTGTGCGTGGCGGCCCATCCTAAAATGCTCCATGCGGATTTTGGGCCAAGGGCCAAGGGGCCTTGGTGATTGATTCCAGGTGAGAGGACACCTCGATGAGCAGCGGCACTCCGCCGGTCTGCAGGATGCGGCTGAGACTCGTCAAGTCTCGTGAACTCACAGAACCTCTCCTTTCGATCGTCTTAGCTGTAGAAAATCCGTAAACGGCCTCCTCGGGTCGGATCTTTCAAAGGCCCCTCCACTACTGGCCTTGACGTCCATGGCTACGGCTCCCCGGAAGGCTGCCACCTCAATACAGGTGCCAATAGAATCAGTCTAGCATGCAACTGCAACGGGATGCCATGCCACAATAGATGCATGCTCACCTAAGATGCTTGACATCACCGCTCGACAGGCACTTCTGAGATATCAGCTGCCACTGATGGTGCCTGAGCCGCATCCCTTGATTTATCTTCCTTGCCGAGACATGCTAGGAAATTTGGCCTGGCGTTGTAGAGTCTTGCCGACATTTTCCCAAACTGGGCCAGGAACCAACGGACCACAAATGCGCCTCGGCAGAGGTCACTGACAAGGTCACACGTCCCGAGCTACAGAAGGATGAACTTGGAGCTGCGGTGTCGGAGTTAGCATTATGAGTAAAACCCTGAACATCTGCGCATGCCCAGGCTTTAAGCCCCTTCAAGAAGGCATGGGCGCTTTGACGGAAGGCTTCTGGCAGTGCTGCTAGCACTGCTAGCCAATCGAAGGATGTATCTGTGGCTTTCTTCTTGTCCAGCTTGCACCGCAGACTTATTAAACAAGGTTCGCCTACAGATGTGCATCAGACATCTTACAGTATCATGCCCCTGAATTTGAACCACCTACGAGGTGAGGTTGAAAGGGGCAGTCGCAGTCACTACTGAGACCTCCGGCTCAGACTCACCATCCGCTGCAGTCGACAAGGCCGACCTCTGCAAGCACATTGACATGTTTCTTTTGAGACTTAGGCTTACAAATCAGAAGACGGCATCTGCAGCTACGAAAAGGCGGAAGTTTGGAGCCTACTGACTCAGCCAGTGCCCGAGATTGGGCCCTCTTGTAGTGCAAGATCACAGCACTTCCAAACGACCAGCTACGAAATCCTCTCAAAGGCACAGGCTCTTTGTTCGGCACCGGTCCTTTGGGTCCTTGCAAGGACATGAAAATCGGCGCAATGGGGCTTGCCGACTACAAGCCATGTTCTTGTGCAAGCAATTGCCCCTTTTCGAACTTGGGAGGCAGGCCACGGCGTCTCCGATTTCCAGGCATCCACCTGCCTACGCAAGTTGCTGCGAACAGGCTGGGGCTGATCAACAGACCAAAAATCTCCCCTGCCTGCCGTGTCGATCGCTATGATCTCTGAAGCCGTAACCAAGGTGCATGGTGCGTGGCCCTGACTTTGAGGAGCCCCTTCATTTTTGCCGCAAGCACCGCGGTCTGCATGTTCACGCGAATGGGTACACCGGCTCAATTCACGGCTGGCTGCCTCATGACGATTTCTTGTGACATTTATTGGCGAAAGTTGCGCAAGTGGAACGATGGTGTAGTGATTGGCAAACGTCCCTGCTTTGGCCAAAACTCAAGTCAAGTCCACGGCAGCGTGTCTAAATCCTGACTTGCACATACAACCTGGTATCACACAGACTACACTGACTGCACTCTCTGGGACAGTGGTTGCACTTCCAGGACAGCAAGCCGTCTTTTCCGAGTGTGCACATCGCTTTGGTTGGATCTCTGGAACCAATAGAAAACCTCGGCCAGTAAGGGGACGTGAGCATTTCCGAAGGACTGTTGTACTACCGACATCCCATGACAACTGGCCGGCTGCTGAAACATGATGAGTTTTACTATGACCGCGAGCTGCGAGTCCGCAGTTTTCTTCTACTCGAATCCACGACTGCTTGCACCTGAGCCCGCCGCGTGGTCAGGCGCGAGGTACAACTCGGAGCCTGCTCGCTCGAGGAAGATTGTTTCCAGGATTCCCGGATGCTCCTGCCGCTTCCAAGTCAGAAACAAAGGAGACGTCTCCCTCGGGAAGCATCTCCGAACAGAACCATCAAAGGCCGTTCAACATCCCCCTGCGCGAACTCGATGAAACACTCCCACTGGCCAGTCCCAGGAGAAGTCGTGGCCCGCGAGGAGGCCACCATCTCCAAGAAGGGGGACCCAGGCAGCCAAGTCCCGTCCTTCTCCATGCATTCATCACCGAGAAAATGGGCCAACATCTTCTGCACAAAATCGTTTGTTTGCAGTTCGAAGTTCGCAGCGATGTTAAGAAGCTCAACAGGAACAAATACGAAAGAGTGACCGAGGATTTGACGAATTCCGGTTGCACTGTGATCTCCATCCAGGAACCTGGCCAAAGATGGCAGGATGAAGGCCTGCGCTTCTAAACGTGTACCACAGGGTGTTCATGCTTGCTGGCTTTCTCTACCCTTCAGCTAACGGCAACAGCTTATCCCAGGAGCAATGTCGAGGAATCGTACTAAAATCACTCTTTGCTGTTCGTGACGCAGTTGTTCTGGGCTCCCGGCACTGCATCAGCTACCAGGCCCGCTTCCCGGAACTGCATAAGACAAAACATACCAAAATCAGCATGCGTTGAAAGTGAACCGAAGCAAAAGGCTCGCAAAGCCGTGATTTTGCTAGTGGGATTTGTGCGCACAGGCCCGTCGTTCATGCTTCTTGCCAATCTGTCCAGCCTTCACAGCCGCCTCAACACTGTCCATGGGGAGCAGGTGGGCCTTGCTTGATGCAAGTCTGAAGCCAACCTTTAAAGCATGCAATACAGCATCTACACGCCCACCCGGTCTTGTACTGGACGCAAAGCGCTGAGCAGCCTCTCCTGCGTCGCGAGGACATCCGGGCACATCCGCACACACTTATATGATGCGAACGGGCACCTCCAAAACCTCAATTCCTCAGACTGTTCAGGAAGTACAAACGTATTTTCCGCCCTCGCTGGAATTGCATTGGCACAGTGACAACGTGCATGAGTTTCATGCACTATGGTACCAAACAACAAGTGAAAGCTGCTGCCAAGGGAAGCAGAACGCATGAGGACGGAACACTGGAACTAGACTGGAGCCATGGGCCAAACCCACACGCGCCGCTTCAACTTTGGCCAGCAGCATGACCAAGGTGCTGACTTCAGATGAAAGGGAGACATGCCAAGATGAATCAAGCAGTCTCTGCTCCACTGCCCCTACTCTCAGAACACTCCATGAACGTGCTGCCATCTGTCATCTTGGCAGTCTTGAAAAGCATCCTTGATCAACGTTTTTCAGTATCATCCCAGAAGGATGAAACAAGCTGACCAGCTGCACTTCCAAGCCGTCGTTGATGCCTGAGCTCGTCGAGAAGCACATCGAGCAGCACGTACGAGGTCGAGTTACCACAGTTAGATCGGCCCCGGCAATAAATATCTTTGGCCAACAGATGCAGATACCCGGAGCAATTACAAACTGCAGAGGCGCGGTGCTCAGTCCGAACCCGACTTCTTCTTCGTCAGGTTCACCTTGGCCCAAACCATGTCGAATCAATCGTGCTGATTCTGATCACATGCCATCCGATGTACTTCTGCTAGAGGCACGTTTCACCATATTGCAGCCTGGTCACGGTTTCGCGTTTGAGCACCTGAAGAAGAACGCAACACCAACGAGTTTGGTCAAGTTCGAGGGCTCAACATCGACAAATCCGCTGCGGAGCCCAGAGTGCTTGGGAGGGATTGCGCTTGTCAGCTGATTTTGCCTGCAATTCCTGCTTCAATGTGGGTCTCGGGCATTGACGGGCATGTCCGCCCTTCAAGCACAATATGTATGCAGGGTTTTGGCTGGGGCCACAACGTGCAGCAGGGTCTGCGAGGACTCCAGGATCTTCATGTATGCTGCTTCCGTCTCCTTGTGGCATACTATCTTCTTCATCTCTCTGTGCATTGTCAATCAAAAACAACGTTACTAACCGACTGCACGTTGCTCAAGCTCAACACTGGAAGCAGAATTACATGCAAAGCAAAGGCGATGCCTCATGTTCGTGGGTGGAGCCCGTCCTGAATGGTCTTGTCATACTCATTTCTGGCCTGGGTCTTGCGTACCAAACTCTCATTGATCTTCTGCAGGCGGTCCGTGAGGATGGAGAGCTCCTGGACAAGAATCCCAATCGGCTTTAAATTAAACCTGGTGTCCGCGAATTTCAAAGACCGTATGCCGTCGGACAGTCGACCTGCATTGCAGTGGCAGGCTCTTGCTGTCTCAATCCCTGCGCCCTCAACGCGCCCAGCAGCTCGCCCACTAACTACAGCATCTTGGCCATCTTCGCCACTTACGTGGAAAGAAGCAACTGTCCTTTTGGATCTTGGCCTTGTCCTGCACGAGCGGGCGACTCACCAACGCAGAGTCTGCGGCGGAAAGACCTTGACTGGCCGAGCATCGCCGAGCCTCCTCCTCCTGGAGGATTTGGCGATTGAGCTCCTCGCGCTTCTCTCGCAAGTCCTGGATAGATCAAGCCCCGGCCACCCATCATTCCAACACCGCTCCGTGTGACAGCGTCAAAGCCTCGTATGGCATGGGTTGCACAATGCTCCACACATTCGGCTCATCCCCACGTACGGCTAGAGGCACTTGTCCTCGATTGACTTTACCAGCTCGTTGTTGTAGTTCTGAAGAGTTGCACCTGGATCGAACTATGTTTTCTCAACATCTGACCGGACCAAGTACACCTTCTACGTAGTCTTATTCCAGCCAGGGCACCTTGAGAAGCCATGATGGTGAGAGCGGTGAAAGGCAAGATGCGACGCCGAATTGACTGTTAGCTGCACAGCTCGAGCCGCTGCAGTGCGACAGCATTTAAAAACGGGAGGGAAACAACTCAGCAAAATGAATCCCATCTAGAGTGTTGGGTTTGGGACACCGCAACCGAGTTCGTGTGAAGTCGCCTTTTTGCCAATCTAGCAGAGTCTAACAACTCAGTTTGCAGAAGATGCCCTTTGCTTCGGTTTGGTCCCTCCTTCGGCTGGTTCTCCACGAGGTAGGCATGCAGCCACGGAAGGCCTCACGCCGAATCCCATCTGAAGGTTGGGTAGGGAACTGTTCGCGCACTGGAAAGACAGGCTTTTCCCGCAGTGCAGGATCCGAGCGCGCACGATTCGTGCAACAGAATAATGGCGCATGCCAGCATCGGACTCCTGCGCCGAAGCGATCTGTGCACGAAGATTCGCGTGCACCGCCGATTTGCGCCGGAATGCTCCTCGCTTACGATTTCAGAATTCCCACCTGGCCGCATTTTCGTCTTGTCACCCTTATTAGAGGGTGGGGGGCCCGGACCGTCTGCATGATCGCATTGTACTTCTTGCTGCACAAGGCAGTTCTTTGGCCGGGACCAGCTTGGGTCTGCGGCCACTTTTCTTGTGAAGCCGTGACCCTATACCGACTTTTGTTGCATGGATCGGAATGTGAGGCATGCAGGGCTCACGGTGAGGCATGCAGGGCTGTAGCAAGTTGAGTTGCGGCTTGTACATAGTTCGGGGTTTCTGGCGGCTGTCTTGGACCGTGTTGGCTCATGCGCAAGGCGGTGGAACCTTTGAAACCAGTCAACCAATCTGATCGTGAGACTCTCTTCCAAAGCATTGCCTTTCGATTGCAAACCTTGTAGAGGCTGGCGGCAGGCTCGGCAACATGGGGATTGCTTTATGGTGCCGACTTGCACACATGCTCAAACTTAACACCTACCCGGCAAGCCCAAGCTCCAATTCTACAAAGCGGGGGGGGATAGTTGACTAAGCGTCAAAATCCCGAGGGGCCCAACAGCCCTTGCTAAGGCACATGCCTTCGACTTAATAATTCACAATATCACGAATTAAACCCTTCATGAAGGAGCAGTGGGCTGACTGGGTAGCTCCTAACCCTTCTGACATCGTGGGATCCTCACCATCAAACGCATGCGGGAAGTGTCGAAATCTAGTCCCCAAGGTCAATGATGCGCCGCTGCGACAAGGGTTCCAACCCTAAGCCAAAGACCGCTGCGACCGTTGGTGGACACGGGGTTGGTGGACACGTTGGTGCTTGAGTGGTATATCCGGCCCCTTGTCTGAATCGCCATTGCTTCGATCGGCTGTGTTCTGGAATCAGGTTTAGTATCGTTTGGTGCTTGAACCGGCGGTGCTCCAAGCGGCGGCGTGCTTAAATCGGTAGTGCTTGAATTGCGTGTACTCGAATCGGGCGTGATCGAATGGCAAGCGCTTGAATTGTAGTGCTAGAATCGGGGCCAGCGCTCGAATCATGCTTTGACGAACCGTCGTGCAATGAGCTGACTACACTACACTACAGGGTTGCGCAAGGGATAACACAGCAGAACTATTGTCCAATCTTCCAGTCGACCGCTCCAATCGCAGAGCCAGGACGCAAGCGCAACGTTCTGTCTTTTCTCCGCTCTTGCAGACAAATGATTCAGCACTTGCCCACATTTGCGCAGTGCCTGAGCTTCAAGCAAGAGGAATAACTTTCGCATGACGAATAATTATATATACTCTCACCAAGTCGAATATACATCTGGTACCCCCCGCGAACTCTACCCGCTCACTGCCCTCATGGTAGCAGGTTCCAAAGTAAACAAGATGCAGCAACGTGCTGTTACCCATGTCCTAGACGGCGATGACGAAACATCGACGACGCATTCGACAAAATGCCGAAAATTATTAACGGGGCTGCCCACTGCCTCACTGTCCCATACTGTCCCCACCGTTGCCCCACGTGCCCTTGCCCTTAACCTGCAACAGCCATGAAGACACCCTGGCCTGCACAAATGTGGAGAAGCGTTGCAAGTCTTGCAAGCATGCTGGGGTGAGGTTTGGATGCCACTGACTCGGGCATAAGACTCCCCCGAATGCTTCCTGGGGGCATCTTCGCGGCGTGACTGCACATGCTGCAGCATCTTGAAGCGGGCATCTTCCAGGTTGGACTGCAAGTCTTGGGATCGCAGCTTGCCTCGTATTCATCACGTCAAACCGTGAACAAACCGGGAACAAACGTGCCAATCTCGAAATCGAGAACCTCCCATGAGTAGTGCATCTCGATTAGCCACGGCAAGCATTACGTTCCATGCAATCTGAGGCATGTGCAAAAGGTCCCCTTCTGCCCTGGCCTAGGCCTGACTTAATCAACAGCCGCGCTTATGAGCGGGGGTGTCGTCCCGAAGCTTAGCCTCTTGCACAGACAAACTAGACACGGCACTGGTCAAGTCGGCAAGGCCATTGAAGGTCATCACGCCAGGGAAATGAAAATAATCGGCGGCTGCAGTCCATTTGAGGACCTTTTGCAGACCGTTGCTGCCAAGATCGAAGGGCGGTAAAGGGTCGCCCTCAGCTTCAAGCCTCAGTCGTACACGTGGGATCGCTCGACTGAACCAACCATCGTAGACTCCACTTTCCTCCATGTCGTGAAGTTGCTGCCAAATGTGGGCCAGAAAGTCCAGAGTCGGCGTGAAAATGGGCAGCAGCATCGCGTACATGTCATTGAAGTAGTTCTTGTAGGGGTGTTCTGGAAAATAAACCGCACAAAAGTGATCCAGCATCTCCTGAACATCCTCGAAGCTCGCGAAGCTCCAAGGTGTGTTGTGGGTTTGCTCGACAAATTCGAAGCCAGATACCTGCATTAGTGCTGACCTCATGGCAAGGTACACCGCCGATACTTGCATCAGGAAGCTGGATGCAAGTAGCACCTTCCGATTGAGCTCCCAAGTGGCCTTCAAGGCGTCACTGGTGAGTGTGGCCCTGAAAAGCGTCAGAGAAGCGACCTGAGAGGCCGCGGGGCCCAGGTGATATGCCAGCAAGTTCCACGTCACCATGCTGGTGCAGAAGATCGCATCCCCTTGATCGGCCCGTCGTGCCAGATCGAGCAACAGCATGCCGGACAGGCTCGCCGGGGCACTCTGCAATGGGTTCATGCCGAGAAACTGCAATCTAGGAAGCTTCGGCAAAAGACTGAACATAAAGTGGCAAAAGGTCAGCCCGTAGCAAACAAGCAGATCTGAATTGCCCATTCTGTGAGCCACATCGTCGGCGACCTCATAGAACTGCTGGAAAGTCACATTTGAGGAGTGGAAATACTCACAGAGAACATCGGCTCGGCTAGGTACCTTTCGGTCCTCACACCCAGAAGTTTCCTGACAAAGATAACAAACGGAAAAGTAAGCGAAATCAAAAGGTTCAAGTCCTGCCCTCATCGCATAATGGTCGATGTGCTCAGCAAACACGTTAGCCAGAGGGGCATGGTGGCTGAGCAGGGCCACCCTGACAGATGATCCAGAACTGCTTTCATCCATGGGCGCAGTGCGCGCTGGTATAGGAAAACTCTGAATGGCAGATGTACTTGCAGCAGGCTCAGCAGGCTCACTGGCCTCTACCCCATGGATCAACCACCTGTGCTCACGAAGCACAGTCGTGAAGACGTGATCAATTCCGATATCCCCGGTATCCTTGTATGCCTTTCCGTGCTCGTCGAGCAAGGATCGGAGTAGCCAGCCTTTGATAGCTGCACAAGGCGTTGACGCAATCTCCTCGACACCTGCACACTTCGCCGGAACACAGGCCGTGTCGAAGAGGCCACCGCCGTCGTTGACATCATCCCCGGCACCGTCCGCCGAGTCAGCGAGGTCCAAAACCTCGAGCCCTGCAAAGAACTCTTGCCCGGCAGCCGTGTACCCAAATTGGAGCCTTGCATAAAGAAGCTCGCCACCTCCATCTCGACAGCGCCGCCATGCTGCATCTTGTACAGAAGCCCGACCGCTGCATTCCCAAAACCAGGACCCGATGCTAAGGAACCAGAACAAGGACCTCGTCAACTCGGGGGATCTCGGGGGTACCGGTGCCTCTTACCCATGAACTCACCCACCTCCAAAACGACCGCAGTGAAGCATGAGAGCTGATGAACTCAAACTTCTTACAACTTAAGCCTCCTCATCTGCAATGCCTTCCTTCTTGCCTCTCATTCGGTTTCCACAGCCACAGTCCAAATACCCGGTGAGGCTTCTTCCCGAATTGTCGGTCGTGGAGCTCTGGAATTCATGCCTAGCCTTGCAACCGCTGTTTACACATGTCCTGAAACCTACAACCTAGGGGACCTGGGACCATTTCGACTCTCACACTCGCACCAGGCAGGCAAGGTTGCACAGAGTGGGACCATTTAGGAGTCCGCAGAAAGGGGGTCCTACTATTTAACGCAATCGGGGAAAAACACAGAACCCACAGGCCCACACAGTGCAAAATTCACCTTGGGCTCCTGGTCTTTCACACCGAGCAGCTTGCCGCAAGTGCCTCGCATCTGACCAGCGCCCGGCTGCGACTCGCAAGGACATGCTCGAGCTGTGTGCCCCGGCGAGGAGCTAGCCCGGTGGTTAGGCGGCTACGTGATATACAGTGGGCTGCAAGTGTGAATGAGCATGTACATGTGTTTACGGCCTCCTTGCTTGAATGCACGTTCTGAGCCGCATATCGATGGACAAAAAACCGTTGGCATGTGCCAATGGACAACGAAGACCCCATCCTGGCACAGTACCGAGGTGCAATGGACCGAAATGCGCAAAGCAAAATTAACGGCAACTGACCCACCACTTGCTGCGAAACTTTGTTCCTTGAGCTTGATGGTCCTCTACTACACATCCTGGCGGGAAACTAGCATCCGATCTCGCAGCACACAGCCACGAGAAGCCTGGCTCTGAGTGATTCGTCGGCAAATCATGCTTGCCATCGTAGGCCACAGCCTATATCATCTCTCGATAGCATCGATAAGCGACAGTCTGTTTCGTGCACTTGGTTACACAACTAGCTGCTAAGATACCGCAGCAAGAGATGCCAGGCATAACTCCGAAGGATGTGAACTATACAGCGGGCAGGGACCCAGTGGGAGCGGCCCTTGGACCCTAGGAGCATCCCAGAGCCGGAAGTGCTATGTCAAGATCGGCTGAACAAACAAGGCTGGCAAGCTGCAAGGCATCATTTAAGGGTTTGTTATTGGCAAGAAGAACGACCTGAGTTGATGGTTCCCTTCGGGCGTGCCTCGGCCTGACCGTGCTGTACACGTCGTGCCAGTACTCCCACTCACGAAGCTGTTCCTCTGAGCAAAGTTCGCCATCCTCTCCACGCTTGCAGCCAGAGGCAGCAAGGGCGGCTTCCACTGCTTTCGGGCGGAAGCTACCTACTGTCTCCTCCCCAGCCTGTGTGGTCACCAAGATCTCTTCACCAGCGAGCGTGACACACTTGATGAGTAGACTGCAGTCTTGCAGCTGCTGCACGACCAAGGAAATAACGATGGTGCGGTCATAGCAGCCTGACAAACAATACCTGCAGTAGTTTCGGCTCGCCTCCGACTGAGTTCGACACTGGGGACACTCGAATCGAATCCGTCCACACTGAACACAGTTGAAGAAATCGTCGTCGAAGAACGTCAACCACGTGTGGCCGCAGGCCGGGCATCGAACGTTGTCTGGGTTGCGGTTCCCCTGACGAAATACGCAGCCCTGCGTGCAATCGGCACCGTGCGTGCAGCGGACAAGAGTTCCCCCTTTCCCTGTGTTCATGCCGTCTCTAAAATCAAGATGAAAGTACTGTGGCATGAATGAGTATGCTCCCAGTCCTGGCGTCAGTCCGGCGACGGCACGCGCTGCTTCAAGGCTGATGGATGGCTCACCGAGCCATCTCTTCTTGCCAAAATTTCCTCTGCTGCAGCCCCGGGGTAGGTTCGTCATCTGCCGCAGCTCCGTTCGCAAAGCATTTGCGTTTTCGACAGAACTTTTCATGACGAGTGCCTGCCCTCTGCTACACCTTGAGCCGCCTGAAAATCCTGCAGCATGCAATTTGCCGGTGCTCTAGCCGAAGCGCTGACATGACGTTGAGGCTTGATAACTCGGCCCCCGTGCGCAGCAGAAAGAGCGCCGTCAACCCATCAGCCTCAGGGCTGAAACTCCCTCGAACCGCGGCCAAATCTCAAGGTGAACTTCAAGCCCAACTGTACCTAGCACAAAAGCATGTGAAGGATTCATAAGCGCAGGGCAACGCCTACCTCAACGTACACAAGCTTCGTCTTCCCAAGATCCTCATCGGCACTTCCACACCACTTTGACACCAATTCTTGTTGGCACGAATCTCCGGCTGACTCCAGCTGTCTAGCAGCATGCAGCCATCCCAGTGCTCCTGGCGCAGCCGCTCCAAAAGCCCACTGAGGATTCGGTAGCGCTCGCCTGGCACCGCGAATCAACGAAGCATAGCTGCAACTCTGCAGCTGCTGGATGAAGAACACTGTTGAGCAACCCTCGTCTGAATGGACAAAGCCGATCGACCCCCACTCTCTACAACGCTTGAGGCCCGAACAGCATCCAGAATGGACTGGCACATCGGCGAGTCGAAACTGCGGTCCTGCCGTGAAAGCTGGCAGAATGCTGGCCGGAGAACTAACTCCACATGTGCTTCAACTGCGTTGCCTCAACATCCTCCGCGCAACTCAAAATCACACACTCGTTCTTCCCTTTCCTGGAAGATTCAGCGAGCGACGCCTCAGCGAGCTCTGGGATTGGCCAGGGCCGGGTTCCAAACACCGGGCCCGTTGCAAGTCCAAGGTCGTCAGAAAAAGCACCAAGCCTGCAGGAATCTGGTCTTGCTTCGGTTTAGGCAAGGCTTCTGCGTTCTTGGGGTCAGACTATCTGGGTCGTTACAACATTTACGTAGTTTTAAGGGCCATGCTCATGCTCCGTAGCTGCACGTGACGGACCACGAAGTGGATTTGCTGCGTTGATCTATGCCGAGGCCGCGACTTTGGGAGAGCAGTGTCAGCTCTCGGCTGAGTTCCCAAACCTCGCAGGAAACACAGCGCTGGTTCATTTGCCACCCTAAACCTTGCAGTGATGACAATGCAGTGGAAGTCGAGCCACTGCTTTGAGCGGTTCGTAACTACCTCTCACCAACTGCTGCACGCGCGCGACCTGGGCCAAATACTTGGAAACATTATTCCAGGATGAGCTATACCGGATTGCGCGAGGTGTCATGACATCAGTGCCCGTGTCCTTCTCTCAGGAACATGGCAGGCACCCCGCTGAGAACTCAGGCATGCCGCTGCAGCAGAGACGCGATGCTCAGAGGGGGATCCTTAGGGGCCGACTAAAGGCTTCTGTAGGGCTTTCGTGTCTGGACTTCTTGGATTCTTGGGGCTTCGGACCTGCTTTCAGTGCGAGGCATGAAGCGGGTGCAGCAGGTTATCATGTAGCTTCGTGTTTCGGGACTAGCCTTCTTCCACAAACCGGCCGTCACTTCGAAGATCGCTGGCTCTTTGGCCCTTGCGAGCTGTACCGGACAAGCTTTCTCTTGCAGCCGGTTGCCACCAGAGCGCCTTCATTCCACTGCGCAAACGAACCGCGACAGAAGCCTTGCCAGTCTGCGATTGCCTTACTGTCTTCGGCTGCAGCACAAGCGCCGTCCTGAGCCATTCAGGCATGAAGGCATAGAGGTTGGGGTTGGGGTTACACCTGCAGAATATACGGCTGCAGCAGAGCTACGTTTGCGTGGAGGAAGACTACCTGCAAGGATCGCCACAGCTCTGTCGGGATAGTTCGTGATGATCCCATCCACCCCAATTGCAACTGCCGCTTCTATATCGTCGACAGCATCGACAGTCCAAGCAAAAACCTGCCCCTGTGTCAAATGAAGCCGCTTAAGCGCAGAAGCAGTTAGCGATGAATGTCTCACAGCCACGCCCGCAAAGCCAAGTCCAATATGCTGTAAGTTTTCCTTCTCCAGCATTCCAGTTGCCGAGCTCAGGGACAAGTACATGACTCGCAGAGAGGGCAGCAAATGTCGCAGCTCATGCAGGTAAGGTTGATGGAAGGACTGTGCTACGATGAAGCCTTCCTCGACTTGCTGCGAGTACGGAGCCAAAGCCTCCGCAACCAACCGCGCCAAATTCGGATAGGCTGGCTCCGGCTCCTTCTTCAGCATGCCCACGCGGCGCAGTGTGGACTGTACCCACTCCGGCACTCCGGAAAAACCACCCTTCAGCTCGATGAGAACTTTCCTGCGACCCTGGGGCCAGTTCATGGCTAGGTCAAGGACCTCGAGCAGGGGCTTTGCAGGCTCATGGTCTGACTGGGAGAAAGTGTACATGTCAAGGAACAGAACTAAACCTGCCGGTATCTTCAGACCTTGTATTCGGCATTTAGGCTGCCTCGCCGAGGAGGGGCACCTGCTCTCCCCGAAAGGCTGCGGAGTGCTTGGAGCCAGCATCCAGGCGCCGGATTTCTTCCAGGGGTGCATGGCAAATCAAGCCCCTTCCCTCAGTTGTTCGGTCCTCTGCGCTTCCAGGGGCGTGGCACACATGTACTTCCGGGTGCATCACACGTCTGACTGTCTGAGGCGATGCATGCACCCTGTCCTGCGTAGCATCATGGATAACAACCACGTGTCCATCCAGCGTAGGGTGAACATCGAGCTCGACTCCATCTGCTCCAGCAGCCAATCCTGCACAGCTCCAAGCAGTGACGCTTCTACGAAGCAGGCAGCATGCGAAGCATTCGGGCTGTGTCTGACAAGACTGTCTGAAAAAACTTTACTCTACAGTAGCTAAAACGAAAACCTGCGCGGAACGCGGCCATGGTGTTCTCTGGACATGTCTTGGACGCACCACGGTGGGCCCACACCAGCGGCCGGGCACGAGACATGGCAGGGTAAAAAGTGGTCGTACTGGAGCACGGGCCGTAAGTCTAGGCTGCGAGGCTGTGCAATGAGCACTGAGTATGAGATAGCTAAAGGAAGCCCGACAAACTGCTTCGATGTCGTGCGGCAGGAGCAAGTAGCACCAAGCTTCTTGAAAAGTGGCCCGTGTCTCCGTCCGGGGGCCGAACCCACAGCTTGGACTCAAGGCTCGTGAGGTCCTGGACTCTCAGGCGGAGGAAGGGCCGACGCAACCTCGCTGAAGTCGCTTACGTTCACCCCTCTGCCAGGCCTCCGGGCTGATGGGGATCCTGGCCTCTCACCAGGCTGCCAAGTGGTGAGATGTGATGAGATTCGTTCTGCAAAGGCGATGCAGGGCGCACCAGCGGCAACTGATGAGGAGGAGGCTGCAGCTCCACCTGACGCCAAGAACAAAAAGCAACTTCACTTATAGACAGCTTTTCTCTCTTCCGGGGGACATGCCATGAGCACCTCCCATCCAGGCCTCGGCTCGACACGCAAAATCCCGCCCCCGCCCGAGTGTTTTGAAATTCCTCGGGTTGGGGCTCCACCCGCCAGGGATGTGCGGAGGCTGGTACCTGACAGCAAGGTCCTGCCCCCCCCCCTTCCACCTTCCCTACCGACATGATGACAAGAAGAACCAAGTATCGGATGTTGCTCCGAGCGCAGCGAAGGGCTCGTGTTGTTGTTGTTGTTGTCGTTGCCAACGCCAGAACTGTGATTGTGTCTTGCTCTGTCATCAGTGCCGTACGTCACTTCAAAGTGCTGCGGCTGAAAAGTCCGAAGTTTTCCTGCACAATGACTGGCACGATGTTCCGAATACTGTAAACTTGAGGGCCGGAGGCATGGAGAACGAAAGCTCGGTGGCTTTTATTTCCGGTAGATGTCGCCCCGGCAGGGCAACGGCTCTTACCCTTGGGAGTACAGTACTAGTAGCAGTAGCAGTAGCAGCAGTGATAGCAGTAGCAGCAGTGATAGCAGCGGTAGCAGGGGTAGCAGTGGTGGCAGTAGCAGTAGCGTAGCAGTAGTAGTAGCAATAGTAGTGGCAGAAGAAAAGCAGTGGCAGTAGCAGTAGCAGCAGCAGAAGTAGTAGTAGTAGTAGTAGTAGTCGTCGTAGTAGTAGTAGTAGTAGTAGTAGGAGCAGCAGCAGCGCCAGCAGCAGCAGCAGCAGCAGCAGCGGTAGTAGTGGGAGTAATAGTAGTAGTCGTCGTGGTATTAGTTGTTGTCAGGTGGTTGTTGTTGTTGTAGAAGTCGCAGCAGCAGTAGTGGTGGTAGCAGTAGTGGCAGTAGTACCAGCAGCGCCAGCTGCAGCAGTGGTGGTGGTGGTGGTGGTGGTGGTGGTGGTGGTGCTGGTGGTGGTGGTGGTGCTGGTGCTGGTGGTGGTGGTAGTTGTTGTTCTAGTTGTAGTGTATTTGTGGTTGTCTGTTTGGTTGTTGCTGTTGTT